TTGAGATACACACATCCCCCCTCAAACACATATACACAAACACAGGAGGAAGATTATGTCGGAGGCTTTGAAGTGGTAAGGGGGGAGAGAGAGAGAGAGAGAGAGAGAGAGAGAGAGAGAGAGAGAGAGAGAGGGAGAGCGAGAGAGAGAAACGACTGAGTGCTATCTTTCTCTTTCCTTGTTTCATTTACAGCTAATTTTGCTCTCCTACCGAAGAAAAATGTTTAAAAAACCCAAACAAAAAACAAAAACAATAACCAACCAACCAACCAACCTGAAAAACAGAACATATCACCAAACAAACAAGCAAACAAGCAAACAAACAAACAAACAAACAAACAAACAAACAAAAATGCGCGACCCCACCCCGACCTTATCCTTTGATTGTGGCTACTTGCTTTGTTATGGTTACGACAATACATCATCTTTTGTAGCCAAACAACGGGGACACTCAGTTTGCACACTTTACTGAGGTAATGACCCACATTGGCGTGGCCGTGGAATTGGCTCCTCCGAACTTTATGGCGTCAATTAAGGGGAGAAAATAACGATCAGCGCATTGATTTATTTTTTTTTGCAAGACAGGAAAGGCATTTTTTTCCTTGTAATAGACAGTGGGGAAAGGTGAAAAAAAATATTTTTGGGGAAAAATAGAATCACCTTTTTATTTTCAAAGTAGAAATGAGATCAGAACTCCAGCCCTATTTCATTACCGTTTTTGTCTGATGGTTAGGCAGCCGTAGCGGGGGACAGCATGAGGTAAAAATATTGACTTTTGTCTAAGTCTGTTCCGTTTATTATGAATTAATTCCATATTTGCATATTCAAACATCCAATGTATTAGTCATCCTTTGTTTAAGATTCTGAACGTTTGATGTCGTAAGGAGAGAGCCAAAAATTGGATGGGGAGGGGGGGGGGATTAGTGCATTGGGGTGAGATTTGTTCGGTGAAATATTTTCCATACTGACCCTACCTTGACATTTTCTTTCCACTGATTATTTCACCCATGGGTTAAACAAAATGCAAACGAGAATCTAATTCAACCCGAAAGGATTCAGAAGTCTGTAACTGATCCATTAAGGGTTTTGATCTGTCAGTGCATGTGATTAGTATTATGCAGAAATGATGTAGATTTTCGGCAAATCGGAACCGGTAAATTGCACAATGTGAAGATGGCTTTTGTAAATTGTGTGCTACTAATCGGGTGATAAATCATTATTAACAGCTGGTTAAGTTGGCCAATCCCTATGGTCTCTGCAGCAACCTGCTTTTTGCTTAGCGTTGATTTGCTAAGCAGTAATTTGTAGAGTATTCTGATCAAATATTTTGAAAGTCATCCATCCCAACATTCGGACATTAAAAAAAAAAAAAATTTAGTTCGTATTCCCCTGACGGTGATAAACAGGAAGTTGGGGCGCCTTGTGTGCTAGTAAATTTTTAAAAATTTATGCGCGCACATGTGTGTGTGTGTGTGTGTGTGTGTGTGTGTGTGTGTGCGTGTGTGTGTGTGTGTGTGAGTGTGTGTGTGTGTGTATGTGAATGTTTGTGTATGTGTGTGTTTGTGTGTGTGTGAGAGAGAGGGAGAGAGAGAGAAAAGATTGAT